ATATTGCTATTTACAACATGTTTATTCTTGCAAAATTCCTTGCCAAATGGTAGCTTTAAAAGTGTAGCTGTAATACAGAAATCACACACGTACCACGGCGCTCTTGTGTGCAGTCTCGGTCGTTAGGTATTTGTGACGTCTGAAATTTGAGACGCCCCGTGCAAATCAATCCACGGTGATCGTGTTAAGACTTTACAGTCGTTTGGACAGTTACGTGACAAAGTTGATGAGAGAAAAAAGACTTAGATGGATTTTGCACACCAGGAATCAAAGGAAACAGCAAGAAAGATTCACAGTTAGGAACCATAAGACGGTGGGAGAGGGGGGGGACTGATATGGTACCCCTTGTGGAGAAAGACCTAGAAAGGCCGACATTTGTTTGGGAGCAAATGCAGCAAATGGCTTCACCACATCCCCCGTACCAACAATGGACCTATCCTATCCCCATAAGTTATAACAAAAGGTATCGTCGACTTAAGAAAGGAGCACAAACAGGAGGTACAAGACGAAAAGAGCGACCCGATGTGCCACAGAGGGAAACAAGGGACGGACTAAGGTCTGCGTATCGGAGAGACACTAGTGGACTTGCACAGTCATCGGAAATACACAGTCACCACTATTTCAGCACCAAGGAGAGGCAACAGCACTGGTGGAGTAGAGGCAAAGAACGGCGCTTTTTCATTAGCTAGAAGTGCAATGTGGTGTCGTCACGCTTTCCACCAGGCACATTGGCCTGCTCTTCTAAATAAGTGTGCTGGGTTCTTATACGTGCTAACGCCTGAAGATCCCCCATACACGGGGCGACCTTGCTTTACGTCCCCACACGAAAGGACTAGTGTTAGATGTACCGTCCGCAGAGATGCACAGTCACACGGTTTTCAGCACTCAGGACGTGCACCGGTAGCTGCCTTCTCCCCGCTCGCGCCCAGAGATGTGATTACCGCAGTCGATCCGGCGTGTAACGCTACAAATTCTCACGTCGATACGTTTTTATTTGGCGATTTTCACGGCCAGTGGAAGCAAAAATTGCCCTTAATTCGGGATCCATTCCAGCGGCAGGGATACATTAAAGGATGCGTACTTTTGTAGATTTCGCCGAGACAAATTGTTGGCTGTCCGTCCCGCATACATCGTTACAATCACGATCTTGTATTCGGAACATGCGCCCAATAAATGCTGCATCAAGTGACTGTGCATTTGCTCCGACGCGTCTGGGCGCATAGCTTACCCCCCTGCATTACCAAGACTCAGCTGTAGAAGTTAAGAACGCCGAGTTTTCAAAATAGATTTTTTCCTCCTATGTCATTTAGATCCACGAGCCAGGGGTGAAAATTTAAGCCTGCAGTTACGACCTACAATACAGCAGTCGTAGACATTTTCTAATGGTGTAATGCCGAGTGTTTTCCATACATCATAACTAGATACATAACGTAAACTGTCTACACTGACGTTATGTAAGTCATTTCTGATCTGTAGACTGATCCTGCACACCTATTAACGTCTGAAAATGTCCAAATTTGAATAGATGGCCGTTTCTGTGTGCTAAACTATCAAGCACGTGAAACATTAGCATGTGATCCGCATGCTAAGATTGGGGAAGCAGATAACGAAACCAAGGCCGCCAGAGTCAGCATTTTCTAAGACGAAACCTGTAGCAATCAGGGTGCTAAGCCGAACGCTTTGTTATAAGTATGCTTCAACCACAACAAAGAAGTGCTGTTTTGTGTTGGGTTATCAATTCTCGCACCAGATTCCCAAGATGGATCTAGTAGTAGTAGTAGTAGTAGTCAGTAACATTTCAAGAGGAAAATTCTGCCATCGCAAATAAAATAACACAGATATAGACACAGAAAAAAAGATTTAGGACACCGCCGCGCCTGTTCTAACACTGCAAGCAAGTCACGTCGGTGGATTGTATCACGAATGTTGTTTTGGCTGTGAAGTTTTCTTTGACGTCAGGAGTGTGTCACAAGGAAAACACCATCATTAAAAAAACAAAAAAACAAATCGAAGATATCATACCTCCGTGATATATTTAGAGTTTTTGCGAATGTCTCATTTTTAATCATTAATGTAAATTTCTCGCTGATTCTTTGAATGCATTTCTCCAATGGCTCTCATGAGGCAACAGACATGCATTTTACATGAAATTAAGGACAGGAAATGAGATAACCTTTTCTGGGACATTTGATCTAACTTCCTGTCAGTGTCCTCGACGTGCCTTCCATATGGAAACAACTACGGAAACACAGGGGAACACACCGAAAACAAAACCTCCGTACTTGGAGGTACCAAAATGTAGGTACCTAACCCTAATTCTAACAGACCGACAGAGAAAAAATTCAGACCGTAGCCACGCCTTCCCTGGCGCTGCACTCTGCTCACGTTTTGGGTTTTATCGCTGGGCGTCTCCGCCACACTATCAGCACATCTGTAATCGCCGTGCAAGCGAGGCCCGGGCCTTATCGGGCTCCCGGCAGCAGCATGGGGCTTTGCGAACGGCAATGCTCTCGTAAATTTGCCAAACTCCGCAGCCAGGCAGGGAACGTAACGATGGCAGATGTGATAGCAAGGGGATAGTTTGGAAGGATGGTGGGATAAATAGTTATACACGACGTCGGAATGGTGTGCGAATATACCGTACTCTACTTGTGTTGTCCTATCTGTGAGTAGACGGGTGGACTTCTTTTGTCAAATTATCATGGAAGTTCATCTGTGTTGGTAGTAATCGTTGGTAATGCTGAACTTTATTCCGACACAAGGGTACAGTAGGATCAAATTTTCAACGACCACTGTCGCCTTCATCAGTATACGAAATTACCAATCACTTGTAGACCCAAGGTGGACTTCTCTTCAGAGTTTGTGGAACGACGGGTTAATTGATACTTTATAGGGTGGATAGGAGGAAGAATAAGGAACATCTTACCATACGTTGAACTGATGGGACTCTACGGGGGTTATGATGAGTAAAATGAGGTACAGACTTGGCGTCAAATTGTGGGATCCAAGCCAAGCGACTTCAATCAAACGCTGTATACTACTTATTAATTGATGTTCATTCTTTTTTTCTTTCTTTCCTCGTACATCTCTTCAAAACAATTTATTGGAGGTTGAAAGTAGGTTTGAAAAGCCTTTTTAGTCTTATATGTCTCCTTCTATGTACTATGAAGGCATGTTCTAAAATATATCTTCTCGTGTCTTTCATCACTTAATCTATGCCCATCTTTCTTACTCCTTGTCTTCACGCAACACCTTGGTCATCAGTTACAGACAGACAGTTACAGACAGTTACAGACTAGGTAAGAACAAGTCGACGTATCCTTCGTGTCTGAGTGAAGCCTGCGTCACACGCGACATTTGCCGCCCCACGTCGCACGTTACGTTTGCGTCAGGCGCGTCACGTGGCGTCGGCGTGTTTTTAGCATCAGACGTAAATTATCAGGGGGTGTCCCCGGTAATGGTAGCGGGAGATAGCTGCGACATTTCCGCCCATTTGCGGAGTGAGCATACGGTCTTACCACTCTTACCGTGTCGCTAGATACGTAACACTGGATCACTCATCGTAAATCTCACACAATAATTTTTCCTTGTATTTTGCATTGCGTCCTATCATTTTATTGTTGTGTCCTATCAGTTTATCATTGGGTGGGGAATTGGTCTTGCATTTGCATGCGTTTGCAATATCTTTGTTCTTTGTAACGTTGTGTACTTCATTTATATTGGATTTTATATCTATGTGTTTGTGTTATGTGTAAGTGGTAGCGTTAAAGTAGGTCCTTGCTACTTGAGTGCGCTCCAACTTTGTGTTGCATTACGTTCCTCAGTGTGTGAAAAGAATCTCGCACAAGGCTAAACTTTCTTGCCGCATTTTGGGGAGGGGGTTCTAGGAAATGTCCAGCTTAGACCGCCTGAAGTCACTACAGGACGGGATCCCGGACTTCGAAATAAAAAATACAACAACTGATCCTAGCTTAACTTAACGGGCAACAGTCCAAAAATCTAAGATCCAGACATGTGCGGACCATTGAATTCACCGGTACATCAATGTATCGATTGACCAGCTCTAGCCAGATCGTGTAAGGCTCTTCTGTTCTTTTAGATAAACCGTATACGTTCTGACAAGGATCGCATTTGCATGTAAAATACACGTCGTAAAACAGGAATGGACTTGGATTTGGCATTGAGCAGATACACAGATGCTCCAAAAGAAAAGCAAAGAAAAGAAAAGACAGGCTGAAGATAAAACTATTCACGGATGAAAGAAAAGACAGGCTTATTTACAAGTCTTTCTCTTAATCGTTCACGAGGGTTTTTACCAGTGTAGCTAGCTCTCACAGTTGCAGGGTACTGCTTTTCAGGGAGGTCCTGGGCATGTAAACACGTCCTGAAAATGTAAGAGGCACTTTGATGGCAGAAACAAGTGGCAGAATTCTATGAGAATGAGTATCTAAAGCTCGACGCTTGTATGGCGTTTACTACATGTATTTTGAGACGTTGAGAAGGGGTTGTATTGACTTTGACATGAATGGAACTGGAATGGAGCTGACGTCGGTACAGATTAACGTGCGTGATTGTCACTGAAGACACTCATGACGGCTGTAAAGTAAATCGGGACGACGTCAGAACCATCCGTAACGTTATCTGTGTCGTGTAGCTGGTGTAACGACCCTTCGGCGTAACACACAAGCTTGTTACTAATTACTGGAACCAGGCCATACGCTTGTATAACAATTCTACCCAGTAAGACTGTTCTAGGGCGTTCTTTTACTTTAGTGCCCATAGTGGGACATTCTGTATAGCTTTGCTTGAGTTTTCTCCGTTTTATATGTAATGTTGATTCTAGCTTTGCCACATAATGATTGTACAAACCAGTGCAATTCATCATGCTGTGAGGCTGATTTTCTTAATAAAACTGTAAACTGTTAATCTTTGATGTACTTGTTTTCAGGGCACACCTATCATAACCACATGTCCTTATTTGGCGCTGTTTCCTCCCCCAGAGCCACTACTCCATGACGAAGGGCGCGGGGTTTCTTGGGATCGGAACAGACAACGTCATCAAGGTCAAGTGTGACGAAAGGTCAGTGCCCTTTGGCCTGACGTCATCAGGCCTGACGACAGGAGTTGTCAGAAATTCAATAGCTCGGTCACAGAGCATCAATCACTTTTGAAGACCTCTTATTCAGCTTTTGTATATGTGCTCGCCAGCTTTTGAAGACCCATATCTTCATAGCTAATGATAGACGAGTGTTTGACATTAGGCCGCTGTGATATTGTATATTTTAGACGCCTCTATCGTACTGAAACGAATGGTGAAGGGCGGAATAAAACGGTGTGGTGTCAGCTGTACAATTTTTCTGTGTGAAAGTAGGGCAGGATTGAAGCAGCTCTGTCAAAACCGCGGCGGTCAATATCTTCCCTGACAGGACATTTTTCGCACCCCAATAAATCTGACGGGCTAACGCCCTCGGCTAGGTGTCTAGGTTATGAATTACTGCAGTTCGTGAGACTGTACTGATGCTGTGATTTGTGTATGTTCCGGTAGAGGGCAGATGTTACCAAAGGAACTGGATAAAGCTATCGAAGATGCCAAATCTCAGGTAAGACGAGACATGGTCGTCTTAACTTTGTCACGAAGCTGATGATGTGTTTACATATGATTTCGGGAAGCTGTAAATTAATAATATATTGTAACTTATGACATTTGATAATTGGTTATGTGCTTGCCTGTCAAAGACATGACTAGGGTTTAGGTATCCCTGTGGTGTTCCTACTGTAGAGGATTGTCCGTTTTTTTGTTGTTCTGGACATGCTGTGGTCACAAGTTGTAAGTAACCACAGTGAAATAACCTTGGCGCTCCTAGCAACTTTCTTTGGTACTGCAGAGGCATGTTGTTTTTTATTGTAAATATCAGCAGATATAGATGACCTATGTTTACCTTGCAGGGGTCCGTGCCTTTCTTTGTGAACGCCACCAGCGGCACGACAGTGACTGGCGGGTACGACCCGCTCGGCGCCATCGCAGACGTCTGCCAGAAACACAGGCTCTGGCTGCACGTGGATGTGAGTACCGCTAGGTGTCGCTTCCACAGTGACACTGCCCAAGTTCACCATCATTTTCAACGGGGATCGTTCTTATATAAATGCTTGTGGCACTAAATCCTATATATTGATAAAGAAAGCACAGTCACTGACGAAAAGTACTTGAAACGTCTGAATCTATATCCAGTTGCTTGAGTAACAGCTCCTTGTACATTCCTCCATCCATTCCTTCCTTCCTTCACTTATTCGTTCATTTATTTGTTCACTCATTCCTTCCTTCCGGCAGGCTGCCTGGGGCGGTGCGGTGCTGACGTCGCGGAGACACCGCGGGCTGATGTCGGGGGTGGACCGGGCGGACTCACTGCTGTGGAACCCGCACAAGATGCTGTCCCTCCCGCTGCAGTGCTCTGTCTTCGTCACCAGGGAACAGGTACATCTTCCGGTCTTCTGTCATTATGTTTAACGAAGGAAAACATGTTGTTTTTGCTCTATTTGACCTGAACCAGAATGTCTATTACCATGGCAACTAGTGTTGGGTTACATCATGTTGCAGTTTTATAGCAGGAGGGATTTAGATTCCTGTCTGAACATGTATATGAATGTGTTTAGAGCAGGCCATGTGCGAAGGTGCAAATCTTTCTAGTTGGTTTTCTTTTTCTCAAACATTCTGCTGTATCTGTATCACATATACGTATTACGTTATCTGTTTAAGTTACAGATAGAAAGATTAGTACCCTGGATGCCAGATGACGGGGCCTGGCCGCAGTACTCTGGCGGGGTGGCCAAAACTCCCTGTACGGCTGGAATGTGTTACCGGCCGCGGGGGCTAGTTGTTTGGTGAGCCGATTAGAAAAGGCCAGGCCCCGCGGTAACCTTGCATCCAGGGTAAAAGATTACTAGTAGTAGAAGTTGAACTTTATGTTACCACGTGGTTTTATACCATGCTTCAATACATTCTGTACTCATTGCCCTCGTCAGTTTGCAATTAGCCTTCGGGTGTGAACTTGCAATAAAGAACTTACAGAAAGGACATCCCTGTTACCGTATAGGGTCTCCTGAAAGCGGCCCACGCGTCCGGTGCGACCTACCTGTTCCAGAAGGACAAGATTTCTTACGACGCCAGCTATGACGTCGGCGACAAGAGCATACAGTGTGGCAGAAAGGTTAGGAACAGTGTACACTGCCGTTCTCCCATCAGCAAAAGAAAAATGTCTTTTCTAGCCTTTTTAAAAATCTTTCTTATGTGCGCTTTGATCATTGAGCGCCTGTATCAAACAAACCCATTTCAAATTTCAAAGTAGTTTTAGAGCTGGCGTAGTTAGATTAGTATCAGTAGTCCTATTTGTACTACAACGTATATATACCTGTTTACCTGTACTTAGCCCGATAGGGCATGAATGTTCAATAAAGGTTATCTATATTGTTATTCTCTTTTTTTGTTTTGTACCACCAGACCGACCCTATGAAACTCTGGCTGTCCTGGAAGGCGCACGGCACCAGGGGATTCGAACAGCACGTGGACTACGTCTTTGAACTGGCACAGTCAGTACAGGCTATTTATTACCTGTCCTAGTGTCTATCTACCAGGCTCCTGGGGCTGCTGAAAAAAATAGTGAACATTGCCCAATAGTTGCGGCTGTCTTCTACCTACGATTGGGCCACATTTCCTTACCTGCCAATTTGACCCATTTCTCCGTTGTTTATTTTCAAGACAGAGTTTGAATACGTCATAAAATGTCGTGTAGCTATAGAATACGTGGAAGTTAAAGCTGGCCTCTCACGACGAAAACTCCTTGCCATATCAGATCCGAGAACGTCTATGGGAATGAGTTGGCTCATATTTTACGTACAGCTTTTGTTTCTAAGGATGCTTGTTGATTATGATCTGTTAGGTGTAGATCAGCAAACGCTAAGGTTTTGCTTTTTTTGTCTGCCCTTTTCCAGGTACGTGTATGACAAGCTCAGCAATAGGAATGATTTTAAGATGGTGCTGCCAGGGGTAAGCAGATGTTCCAACGTTTTCATGGCGCTTAAGCTTTGTAGCTAACATTATAGCGCATTTTTCGCTTATTGGCTCTTGCGACATTGCCTCTGTCTGAGGTATATCATAGGATCAACCAAAAGCCACAATTGCTTTACTATAAATCTAAACGTTTGATATATGTCTGTGTAAATTATGCTTGACGTGACTACTCTTTGTCTTTATAACTCCAGGACTACTGTACTCTTTACTAATAGGGCGTCGGTGTTGGAATAGTTAGCTTTATGACTTTGGTCTTCGCCTTATGTTTCAGCCCAACTGTACCAACGTGTGCTTTTGGTACATACCACCCAGTCTGCAGGGGGTACCGGAGGGACCAGAATTCACCCAGAAACTAGACCAGGTCAGGCTCTTACATTATTCTTGGCATTGACTTTGTTACCTTCAGTAATACGTAAAGGAGAAAGAATACGATATTCTATCAAATACTGTGTTGCATATGGGGTTTGTATTTTCATTTAAAGGTTGACAAAGTTACGACTTAACGTTACTGTTGGCTGACGTTTTAGGTGGCACCAGTCATCAAAGACCGCATGACCAAGAAGGGCAACATGATGGTGCAGTACCAGCCGCTAGAGGGCGTGCCAAACTTCTTCCGTCTGGTGCTGGCCAATTGCGAGACGACACGTCAGGACCTGGACTTCCTTGTGGAGGAAATAGAACGTCTTGGAGCGGACCTGTAGAGGGTCTTCTATAGCCTCTATCAGGCTTTGGGAGGCGGCTGCAAAGAGTAGAAATTGGCCAAATACTAGTAGTCTTTTATAGCCTGTATCAGGCTTTGGGAAGCGGCTACAAAGAGTAGAAATTGGCCAAATAGACAGATAACATGCCAGGGGAGTTGGGCCTCTAAAGAGCGGCAAACTGTACTACTTTAGCGGACCAAGTCCCCTGCCATGTTATCTGTCTATTTGGCCAATTTCTACTCCTTCCAGTCGCATCTAAACCTAGTAGAGGCTAGCCCGGTTGCGGTCTCAGTTTTGAACGTTTTCCAAAGAGTACAGCACAAAATATCCAATTGTGCCTTAAAATTCTTTTTTTTTAAATATAACTTATAACGTTAACAGTTATATTCCAACACGTAATCACAAGACGTGGTGATGACACACTCAAGTCTTGAAATTCCAATATATGATATGACAGATGTGCAATAAAATAAATGAGATGGATGTGCTATAATCGAGGCCCGTTTCCTAACCGAAGTTTTGTGTTTTGTTGTTGATGTCATTGCGGAACTCACAGTTGCATATTGTGTGGAAAATTTTGTGTACAACAATTGCTTCGAAATGTTTTATGACTCACTTTATACGTAAGTTAAGTTTTCAATTTTATAAATCCATATGGAACTTGGTCAAACAAGTGCTTCATTCAGGAATGACTCGGTAATTAAAAGGAAAAAAAAACCTCAGCAACTGTCTGTTGAAAAGTGGTAATGGTGAAATATTAGGGCTACAATTTTTACCGCAAGGTGTCAAAAATGCATGAATAAACAAAAACAAATCTACGATTTCATACCTACGGATTTATATAGGTATAACGTTACTATTTAGGAAGTTTTCACGATATGTTGTCTCTATATCTAGACGTCAAACACCTGTGAAAAGTACAAAGAATAACCAAAGAAACTATAATAACACACAGAACAGCTTTCCTGGTGGTCTTCTTTTTCGCACAGCATAGTGGGAAAATATAATCAGCGCACTACACTTTATTTTGAGGGGTGATACAAAAAAGTTAACAGATATAACGTTATACGTTCAATCTGACCACAGATACCATTAGATATACTTTAAAACACTATATAAGAACTTTCAATAAAGATGATACCTTTTAAAGTATCAGACATGCTATTATAGTCAAAATCATGACTATAAAATTACATCCCCTATATTCAGTGTATACTTCCACATCAACATGGCGGAAAACGCAGACTTTTCAAAACTGGATTCGATAGCAAGTCGGAAAAGTGGAGGAGAAAATCTGTATCTCAGGTTCTACCAAGCCAAAATGGAACAGAATCCCAGCGCACACAGACTTTCGGACCCTAGCTTGGATCAGAAGGAGAGGGAAGCCCGACCTAACAAAATGGAACCGAGACCGCGACGATCGCACTTCGCCGCTCAACTTACAACTCCTGTATAATACTCATTGCAATACAGTAAGTAACAGGCTAGGGGACATGTACAGGTAACAACTGTCTGGAAAAAAACTTCTACTACTACTACTACGCTAGGTATTTACACTAGTTATAAGGGCTAAGCCATTGACACTACTAAGGTACAACCAAACAAGCATTCAAGAATGAAGAGGGTTCATTCATTCATTCAAAAAACGAGAAAAGTCAATTCAAGTACATGTACAATGCATTTTATTTCACACAACATGAACAGTCCACTAACTTAAGAAATGTAACAATTACCCGCTATCTACCCAAGGCATTGTCAGTAGGGAGAGCCACAATCTCTTGGTTGGTTGCAAGACGTTGAATATGTTGCAATGATACTCGGAGGGATATTTCTGGTGGGGCCCTCACCAGCAATGTCACTCGGAATGTCATCGAAACACATTCAAGCACCTTACCAACAACCAGGAAACAGTGATTATCCCTGCCAACAATAGTTCAGGTACACAGAAGGAACTGTTACATTTTTACAAGGTTAGACAATAACACGCTAAGTTACTCAAGCAACTGGATAAAATCATAAATCAGAAAATCATAAATCAGAAAATCATAAATCAGAAAATCATAAATCAGAAAATCATAAATCAGAAAATCATAAATCAGAAAATCATAAATCAGAAAATCAAATCAGAAAATGATGGCGTTCTTCATGATGAGAGGTTGTCCGATGTCGTCACCTTCACCTATGAAAAGAAAAAAAAACGAGAAAAGTCAATTCAAGTACATGTACAATGTATTTTATTTCACACAGCATGTATGTTTACACACAGCACGTGTACAGTCAGGCAGTCATTCGTCAGATAAACAGTACTGGTGGAGGCATGACAGGAAGTTAATGATTTGTGATGCAATTTTTTTTTTCAACTAAACGAACAATACTGGAAGTATAATTGGGCTCACCGGTGTTGTTGATTCTGGCCATTCTCTTTAGACTGAGAGCAAGTCGATAGCGAGAGTCACAAGGACGTAAGCGTAATAGTCACAAGGACGTAAACTGAACCCTCAACGAGAGTGAGCTTGGCCTGCTCGTCAGGCCTTATATACCCAGACGCGCTGTCCCGACGTACGGCGAGACGTGGGTCTAGACATGACGTCTAGACGTGGGTCTAGACAGACAAGGTGTGGCTGCAGGCTTCCGTGTTCGGCCTGAGATGGAGAGAACTACCTCCATGCCGCTTCGATGACTTCTTTGGAGCAAGGGGGTTTCTTCTTGTTTGAGGGCAGTGGGCTTATATTTAGTCCCATGTCTATCGAACAACAATCTAAAGCAAGTATGGAGGCTTTTCATATCCACCATGTTGGATTACAGTGCATGCCTGTTCAGTTTACCCGCCAACACCAGGTCGTCGAGATTCATATGATAATTATGATGACGTCAATGGCGCTCAAATGGTGGTTATACTTTAGGCAGCGCCTATGTGTGTTCTTCACCAGGATAACTCAAGAATGGCAGGATAGATTGGTCTCATATTACGCATATGCAATAAAAGCAGAGTTCCCTGGACTGTCATATGAAACTTTTATTGGTACATAAAATACAACACTACGAATTGGGGCTTCCTGTAAACATGGAGAAATATAGAAATCTCTCAACATTCTTTCCATTTTCCAAAACACTTTTTTTTGTAAAAGCTAATGGCCTAAATACCTATCAAATCTGTTCCAGCTAGAAGAATTTTAGTTTGGTGACAAGTCCCCAAACTTTTCCCCAAAACACTTTCCAT